GCGCAGGCGGGAGTACCCCAGGGCTCAGTACTTTCGCCGCATTTGTACACCATTATGACCCATGACATGCCAATGGGTAATAATGGGGTACAAACGGCACTGTACGCCGACGATATTTGTCTGTACAAAAGCAACCATTCAGCAGAAAGTGCCCTCAGGACACTGGACATCCATATAAACAGGAAGTTAGTCCCCTATTTAATTAAAAACAAAATTAAAATCAACCCCCAAAAATCCGAGAGCATGCTCATCACTAAGCGAAGGTCAAGGGGAGTTCATATACCGCTCAATATTCAGGGACAACAGGTAGACACTAGGAATAGCATGAAGTATCTCGGTTTTCAATTAGATAGGGGACTGACATTCGATCGGTACATCAAAGACAGGGTGGCTAAAAGTCATATAGCGATAAAAACTCTTTATCCTCTATTAAACAGGAGGAGCAAAGTCACCCTGGATAATAAACTTTTAATTTTCAAATCCATCTTAAGACCGATATTAACATATGGATGTCCGGTCTACTGCTCGATGGCTAATTGTCACTATAACAAACTGCAAATTGCACAGAACAGATGTCTTCGGCTAGCACTGGGCTACGACCGCTATGCAAGAATTGAAGACATGCACGTACAAACAGAGACTCCACGAATCAAGGACTATGTACTAAAAACAGCCGAAAATTTCTACATGCGGTGTCTCCCCGATAATGTGAAAGATGACATCTTTAGCATCTATCGCGGGGACGGCGTACGTAGAAAACACGGCTGTTTACACGCGAAACTGGACATATACAGACACAGAAACATACAATAATAATAACAAAATACAATAACATTCCTCCTTAACGATCCCAGACAAAAGACAAACTAAACAACAGCTCGCACCGACTAGATACTCGCGCAAACTAGTCGGACGGTGGATTGAACGGTAGACTGGCCATCGAAGCAACAAGCGTGAAATCCACGATTGTTGCCTCGATGGACGGTGTATCGAGCACTCTGCCTGTGAGGTGTATTACTGAACAATAGACTAAACAAACAACTATACACACAAGGACAACCCTGTTTTTTCTAGCTTTTTCAGGGGACAAAAACCATAACTCAAACGCGACATATCCTTTTACAAATTCCCATTACCGATTCCAAAACAATCCTAATCCCTCAATAATATCGCATGGTAAGGAGTGAGGGCTGCAATATTTGATCATTTTTTATCAGAATAGGGGTAGATATAGGTGGACAAGTCCGGTCGGACTCTAGACCAGCACGAAAGGAGAAGATCCCGGTAGTGTTGATTATACTATTTCATATTCTGAATCTGTAGATATTTTAACTATGTAAATAAAATCCTTGTTACTGTTACTGTTACTGATTTTTGTGGGGGGTGTCATGGCGTCTTGGCTTAAACCAAACGAGAATGTTGTTTATTTATATTGTGGTTGTATTCAGTTGTGTTCTCATTTCCAATTTGCTTAATTCATTTAGTTTACCACTGTTAATAAGCTTGTTTTTACATTATAAATTTGTGCTTTTTGAGCTATCTTGTGCTTTTTCCGCTGTTATTTTGTGCTTTTCCATAAAGATTCGTAATTATAGAAAATGTTGTGTACCGAATTGCCTTGATGTGGACAACAAGATGCATCGCCTGCCCCACCCTACGAATTCACCCGATTTATTTGATATTTGGGCACTTGCTGTTCGTTATCCAAGATTTAATAATAAAACAAGACTACAAATTTATTCCACCTTTGTAGTATGTCATAAACATTTTGAAGAGAAGTATAAAGTAGTTATCTCTCATCGAGGTCTAACACCTGAAGCTTTCCAATGCTATTCCTCCCAGCAGTTCCCGGAAGAGTAGCGGATGGACTTTCCTCAAATAACGTAGAAATTGAATATGTTGATCAAACACCTTCTACTTCAAGTAAAGGTTCGAAGAAGAAGCAGACTAATAATATATGTTGAGCTTCTTTTCGAGAAGGAAAGTTAGTAATCTACTCATTTATTTTATACTTATACTGTGTATTTTCTGTTTCATGACATTTGGGGTTGCAAAGCTGTATCCTAGAAGAAGCAGACTAATAATATATGTTGGACTTCTTTTCGAGAAGGAAAGTTAGTACTCTTACTCATTTATTTTATACTTATTGCCGCGTTTGAGAATCCACATCAGATGCATTTTTTACATCTCCAGCGTTTTTTTATCCACATATATATAAATCGTTACAAAACATAATAAAAGGACAAGAAAGAGAAAAAAAACGTCAATAGGTCAACAGGTATTCAAGCAGTTTTATTTTAAATATTGCGGCGTTTGAAGAACATTTAATATCTTCAGGTAAATTATTAAAAGCCTGTACACCTTTAAAAAACACTGAATTTTGTGTACATTTTTTCGTGGCCTTATAAACTATAAAATTTTTCTTAAGGTAATATTATGTTCATGAACATCCTGATTATAACTTAAAATATTTTGTAAATATACTGGGGAGATTCCTGATTTAATTTTAAATATAAAAAGCAGGGAATAGAATAGCAAATATTTTTTAACAGGCAACCACTGAAGCACATTCAACATGGAATTGATTGGTTCCAATCTGGAACAGCTCAGTATTATCCTCAAACCTCTATTCTGCAAAAAATTGATGGACAGGATAAAGTAATCTGTTTCCTTAGCCGCTCGTTATCTCGACAAGAAAGGAATTTCTCGGCCACTGAAAGAGAGTGTCTTGGCGTTGTGTGGGCCGTGGAGAAACTCCGTCCTTATTTAGAAGCCGTAAGTTTTGAAGGAGTGACTGATTGTGCTAGCTTGAAGTGGCTTCAAAACTTAAAAGATCCAGTCGGTAGATTGGCGAGATGGGCGCTAAAATTACAATACGATTTGCGTATAGTTCATCGAAAAGGTATTGAGCATATTGTGCCGGATGTCCTGTCGAGAGCAGTTCCAGTTATAGATTTGGTAGGTTTGTCAGATTCTGACGATCAGCCTGATCCCTGGTATTCTAAACTTTTGGCTAAAGTGTCAGACGAACCACTTAAATACTCTAATTTTCGGGTTGAACAGGGTAAGTTGTTTAAACATGTTAAGATGGATATCTTAGGTTTAGGGGTTCCTTCTGATTCATGGAAAGTAGTGGTCACTAAATCTCAAAGGCGAGAAATTTTAAGACAAGCTCACGACGAACCGACCTCTGGACACTTTGGGGTGTTTAAAACATGTAAAAGGGTAGCAGAAAAAGAAAACATAGGCAACAGAGTAAAAATTAACTAACGGGTTTCTAGGCGTTGATCAGATACAGATGCAACGTGGGGCCTCTTGTGTGGATTTATAATTGATTAAAAAAAAAAAATTAACGAATAAAAACCAAATACATACCTAAATTTCAATGGTACAAAAGTTGAATTGTATACAAGCTCGAATTAAATCCTCACTTGGAGAGCGTGTTTTAACAATAAATATCCAAAGTATCACTTCGATACAAACTAACCAGCTGTTAGAACACTAGAATGGTCTTATGAAAAATCCCCCAAAGAGCTGAACACAAATTTTTTAAAAATATCACTTGACCACTACTGTAGATGTGTACTCAACAAGATTGTTTCCCAAAAATGTCCCCCGGACATATGGTTGGCCTGTTGGCCCCTACCACTATGCCAGTTGACTTAGAAGAGACCACGTCACTCCTGACAATTCAAAAATTTTGGAAATCTTTACCATCAAAAGATTTATTCTTTAGCTATAATTTAAAGGTTGATGAATAACATTTACCTTATCATAGTAATAACTTACCATGAACCCTACAAATACAATATTTTTAACACAAATACCCTAACTTAACTAATAATTAATATTTTATTCTTAATGCGGACCCAGAATTTGTTCAAATAAATTTGGCAACATCGTGCAGGGAACAGCCAAACCTACGAGACATGTTACACTTTTGCAATCCTTGCAACTCATTCTGGTTGAGCAAATATAGTATAGCGGCACAATAATTAAAATGAGGTAATATTAGAGTATTATAAATTATTATTTTAGCCCATTTTCTGAGATGTGGAGAACAGCGCCTCAAATAGTTTATTTTAAATCGGACACATCTGTCCCATTACATTTACGAATATCGCTATAATAAAGCAAAAATGCAGTTTGTGTGAACAAATCTTAATTTGGCTAACAGTTTTTAATGCGGATAATTTTTACTGTCAAATTTGAATGGCCCCGCGCTTTTCTTCTCTTCTTCTTTTTATTATTTTCTCTTCTTTCATATGGCCTCTTACCAGACAAGGACTTAATTGAAAAAAATCAACCACGTCCGCCAGGTGCCGCTGAAAATTCTATCATCCTTTTTTAACATGGGAGATACCGTTCTAAGAGTAGGTGTTCTGTGGTCTGGCGTGAGCTGCCGTCAAAATAAGATGCATGTTAAATTTTGACCGGTTAGCCGCAGTTTGATCTAAAATACCCCGATTTTATAGTGTTTGTTCTGTCAACAGGGAACGTATTAAGGTAAGTGTTGTTTATATATCCTTAAAGCGTGGACAATATACCAGGTGTCCGCGCGAAAACTTTAAATGGAATTATTTCTGGTGTTTTAAAATATATCGACTTGAAATTTTGGAAGGTCATTAAGGAAGTAGGGGGTAAATTAATAGTGTATAAGATACCACTCCAACGTGATATATGCCGCCCCCAGCCACCCCCGGTTCAAAAGTTTAAATGACACCCTGTATTTTTTTTTACATATTCTGAAAGAGCGTAGTTTTTTTAGTATCTCTATGTGAAAAAATTACTTAATTACATAATGAACTTTGAAAGATATTTACAGCTAAAGGTTCAGATACCAGATATTAAAAAAAGAACTAGTAACCTTGGACAGTAGACAAATTTCGAAATAATTAAAGCAGATAGAAACAAAAAAATCTAATTATCCAAAAAAATATAACTTATCACAAAAAAATACAACTTATCACAAAAAAATACAACTTATCACAAAAATAGGTATTCTTATAGACAACAAAATTTCGCTTTATAAACTAAAGTAAGGACTCATTTTATTTTTTTAGATAAATCAAATGTTCAAAATGTTCACCGTTTACATTTAAACAATAGTACAGTCTATTCTCGAAAGCGTTCCGAATATTTTCAAAGACATGTGGTGTTAAATCTCTACATTCCTCTATGATTCTATTACGCAAATCATCAATGGATTGTGGTGGTGTCCTGTAAACAACAGACTTCAAATGTCCCCATAAAAAGAAATCCAGTGGGGTCAAGTCTGGGGAGCGGCCTGGCCATTCAACAGGACCCCTACGACCTATCCATTGTCCTGGAAAAACGGTATTTAAATATTGCCTTACTTCTAAACAGTAATGAGGGGGAGCTCCGCCTTGCTGAAAGTATATTTGCCCATTGCCTAAAAAACAAACCATAAGTAAGAAAATGGGTGGTAGAAAAAAAGGATCGACGGCGGTTTCAACCTCTAGTCCATATAAGAACATGTTAGAGAAAGAAAAGAAGAAACATGAGGAGGCATTAGAAGCGAAACGTATGAGACTTGATAAAAAGAAAGGACAGGAAGGTAACCAAAGTAAAGGGAAATTTAAGCCAAGTTCAAAAAGTTCTAGGAAATCCAAAGGCAAACAAAAGCTAAAGAGAACAGTTATAGTTGATCAAGATTCCTCAGAAGACGATGAGCAAGTTAATGACACAGAGTGCATATTTTGTGGTGAATCTTATTCAAATTCTGTATCCGTGAGGGCTGGATCAGGTGCGTAGTATGCTTTAACTGGGCTCATGATAAATGTGCCGGAGTCGAAGACGATGATGCTGATGACTTTATATGTGATTTGTGTGCTCAGAAATCTCATTTAAAAAAAAAATTGTTGTTAACTCTTTAGGTATTTTGTAGTTTTTTATTTGTGTCATTTTTTCGTCGAGAAGTTTACATAAATATATTTTTTTTGTAGCCATAAAAAACCTGGTTTTACTTTTATTTTAATATAACGTTGATTATTAGTATTATTTTTTTACGTATCGATTATGTTTCCCTGGGATCGTTTTACCCCTGTCAAGTAATCATTTTACCCCACATAGTAGAGCAAAATGACCCCTTTGTATTATGTCAGATTTTTATGTCATATCTGCAAAAAGTTACAATTTCATTTGTCAAAACAAAACTGGCTAAAATAAATACATTGTGCTAATCGCAGTAAAATTTTCATAATTTTCTTTCGTAATCAGAAGCAGTTACACGTCATCAAACTTTAAGGGGATCATTTTTACTCACTCTCCCCTATTTTTTTGTTTTGTTTTTTAAAGTTTATTTCATTTAATAAAATAATAAAAGTCTGCATCTATTTTTAAAATAGTCATTTTATCTTATCTCTAAATAAATTTTTAAAATTTTGTAAATTTTCGTTAGTCGGTTGTAAAAAAAATATACTGTACAACTTGAGTGGATTATCCATCTTACATATGGTTATCATATCCACTCTTATTGCACAAACTACTATTGTGGATCAATCTTTATTAAAAAATATTAAATTAAAACTCATACTAACATTGCACCAGCCAACTATTATTTTAAAGCTAAAGGGATGAATTAGGGTGGGTTTTTATCCCTATAGTTTTTGTGTACTATTTTTTTGCAAAAATAATTCTTTCCACTTTTTTTACATAAAAATCTAATGTGTCCAAAACATGACTTCCCTGTCTAGTTATTACAAGCTTTTTCTGGTTATTTTGTGCAACCTACTGTATCACACCTGTAAATTTTTAGATATTTTCCACACACATCTTACTCCAAATATTTTTTACATGTATTTAATGCCGACGAAAATACTGAACAACTAAAATTTTACCCTTTTAGTCAAATGTTTTCATTACCGTCTATTTTAAAGATATATAGAACAAAAATTATAGCAAACAACTTTTATTTGAAGAATTTTTTTCTTCAATCGTAAATAGCAGATAAGTATTCGTTAAAGTATAAAAAACGACACCCTATAAAATATATCCCCCCTCCAGAGATGTCTAAAATTTAATCAGCTTACCGCAGGATTTATTATAGCTTCTTCAAGTGTAAATAACATACTGATATGGAAACACCCTGTATGTGAATTCCAACAAATATATAAAATCTCAAATGGGCGGGTTCAAAATATAAAAAAGTAATTTACAATAAGAATTTTGATAATAAAAAACTTAAATTAAAAAATATTCTTCTGTTTTCTGCCCTGGCTACTCTCCTATTGGGTCTGCTTATACTCTCCTGGTTCTTCGGCAACAACTCTACTATCCGTCTCCTCTCACTGCTCTCCTGTCCGTTATTTTAACTCCCGTCTGCTTACCAATTCCATCTTCCAATCTAAATAAAATTTCTTTACCTTTGGTTTTAATTATTCTTCTTTATTTAAACTCAAACGCAGCAATTCTTCTAACAAATTTAATATTTCTTAAACATATTTTAATTTTCAATGTCTAACTATTCAAAATTCCCATCAAACAACATTTATCAAACAAACAAACACACACAAACAAACTTGATAAATTTCAAAATATTTCTAGATTCTCAACCATCCAGCTTTGCTAATTTCAAATTTTGACACTGATAATAACTAATTTTAAAAATTTCGTCATTTGGTGATTTTCCATATCAATATATTTATTTATTGGATACTTTACAAACCCTATAAAAAATAGTAATGTAGAGTTAAGTAACAACAAGAAATTTAAAAATAAAACAAACCTTAATATGTAATGAACTTAATTTAGTAGTCATCAACTTTCTTAAGCTAACATTAAGTAGAAAAACGACCCTTTACAAAGGGATCCGACTATGCCCAAAATCTAATCAACACATAAGAGAATGGATCAAAGCTTTTAAGTTTAAAATGTTTTTCTCTTTCTCCGTTTTTGAGTTTTCTTCAAAATTCTAAACTTACACTATTTCTCAAATATCTCGAATACGGTATAAATCATGTTATAGGACAAAAATTATAGAGAATGGCAAGCAACTTTTATTTGATCAATTTTCTAAAATGTTCGAAGTTTGCACTTTTGGTAAAATTTCTTGAATATCAACCTTTTTAGGAAAATTACGTACCTATAGGATGAAAATTATAGAGAAACACAAGCAATTTTTATTTAAAAAAATTTGTTCTCCAAATGTAAATAACATATATTCCATGGAGTAGAAAAATTACCCCCTATAAAATAACCCCTCCAGATGTTTTGACACTGCCTAAAATGTCATCAACTTAGAGGATAGATCAAACTTTAAGTTTAAAATTTAGTGTTTTTCTCTTTATATGTAAATGATTTATTGAGTATACAGAATACAGACACACATACATCATCGCGAAAATAGTCTAAACGACTTCAGGGAACCCCAAACCAAAAAAAATCCGTTGAAATCTCGAGGTCGAAAAAATCATGATTCCTATACTTTCCTTATCTGTATACAAAGAGGAAAATAAAAAAAAAATATTCTGTCAATACATTAATTCCTTTTTAAATAAAATGCACCCTATAAAATACAAACAATTTTATTATGCATTAAAAAAAATCAGGTGAAATGGAGACAATTCTGGACCACCTTGGAAATATTTTCTATACAAGTAGATCAGAAATTTGATGATCTGTTCCAAAAATGGCATTTTAAAATTAATAATAATAGATGGAATGACACTTTCGATAAACTTAAATTAATTTTACACAAGATGGCTTAAATGGCCTAATTCGACAATGGCGAATAGGTGAAATGTCAACTGACTGCGCGCGATTTTTAACGATTGCTAGTGATTGTTCAGCGACTGCGGGAGATTTCAGGAAGACTGCGTGAGAATTATGAACGACTGCGATGATTTCTTAGCGATTGCCACTGATTTTGATGGGACTGCAGCGATTTTCAATGGGATTGCGGACATTTTGTACATGTATTGTGGGAGTGATTCACCCCTCGGTGTACTGTATTTGTATTTCTATTTTTTTTTGTATATTAGGTTTACACATTTATTTAACAGTTTTTATAACTTGATGTACACGATAATTTTTAGAACCAGGTTGTTTTTACATCCCTTCCATAGAAAAATGAGTTAATGCAAGGTAATTCAGCTTAATGCAGAGTAATGTGAAAGTAATTTAGCGTAATTCATAGTAATATGAAACTACTGCAACGTAATTCAGGACAATGCAGAGTACTACAGCATAATACAGAATACTGTAGCGTAATGCAAATGAATTTGTACCACTAATGCGACTAGTGAATGACCCCGCACATCTACCAGATGCTTTATTTCATTTTTAATAATTTGTCAAATCTTATGTTTACGATTACATTTTGTATGTAAACGGTGTTGTTTTAAAATCCCTAATGTTAATGCCTGACTAAACTAAACGCGCCTTAAGAAGTATAATTTTCGAATTTAAAAATTAAGCTTAGTTCAGCTTTGTTAATCATTTAATAGACACTTACCTTTTTGAGAACGATACTGCTTTCTTCTCTTTTTTATGTTAGTAACATTTGGGTTGTTTTTTAACGTATTTGGTGTCCTTTCATTTTCTTCACTGTCACACAACTCTATCAAACTTTCTTGATATTCAGTATTTTCATTTTTCAAAGTCGGTAAATCACAATGTGTAGTTAAAAGTTCAACTTTAGACTGAATATATTCATCAATATATTCCTTGATATTTCTGGTATCCGTAGCTTTAACTTCACTAATGTCCTCGAGTTCTCTTTTAATAGTTATAGCACAAAATCCCACTTTCTTTCCGGGCGAAGAATCACTATTAATTTTTGGCGGCAAATCCGAACGTTGTTCTATTTTAGCCTCTTCACAATCTATAATTTCTTCTTTAATTTCAACATTTTGTCCAGGAGTATTGGTTTCAAACTCATCAAAAACATCGTCAACATCTTCGTCTTTATAGGTTTGTTCAGAAATAAGATCGGGTTTGTTTTCGAAATTACCTTCACGAATATCTAAACGATCTTCTTGTTCTAGATTCATATTCATCATTAATAGAACAATTAAATAAACGATACTAGTTTACTAATTATTTTGGATATAAATTTTTCTTTTCTTGTTTTTATTATGCACACTAAACGCTAACAAAAATAAAATTGAAAATTGACAAAAGACAGAGCAAACTTCAAACGTCAACTGAAGCCAATGATCTATATAGTTATATAGATTGCGCACCCATCCGCATGTTGTTCTTGGGTCAAAAGAAATCGTAATAGACAGGCGCACAAAAACGTAATAAATTTCAGTAAAAGGTCCTAATGTCATTTTAAAATAGGATTCCTTTATATTTCGGCGCATGCGTACAATTCAAAATTTACTTTTTTATCTCAAAAAAATCCGTCAGTTGGATTGTTCCAGATCTAATTCAAACTGTTTAAGCAGGCGCGATTTAAAGATAGTAATATTTTTAAATTGTGCTCACTGGAAATGTAGAAATTGATTGTGCAAGAAGTAATTTACTAAGAACTGATTCCACCGTTGTGTTAAACGAAGTTTAAAATGACATTTTTACATTACCAATGTCATTTTAATCTCCGTTTAACACAACGGTGGAATCGGCTCTAAGACATTTTTCTTAAATGAATAGTAACAGATATTAGGAAAACGTAAATTTAAACCAAAAACGTAATAAATATATTACGAAAGTAATGACAAGAACAACGCAATGAACTGGAAATACATGTTTATTTGTTATAAATAAATGTTGTTTTATTGTTAAACACTGTTGGTTTTATATTCATATATGTGGTTATCACGTGTTGTCAAGTCTTAAGTGCGTCGTTTTACCCCATGCTACTCTACATTTATTTGCAGAGGTTCTAAACTAAATCGTTGTAAAGGCAGGGTGCATATTCGTAAAGCGCCGACATGTTAGGAAGTCGGAAAAGTCCGATGCGGCGAATTACAAACTCGTAAAATCTCGACGTGTTAGAACTAATACCACAGCTTATACAATACAGCTAAAACACTCTCTTGGCGGCAACGGTTTGCGTCGATTTCGTCGCGCATCGCTTAAGCTCCGCCTTCGGAGGGAAAAGACGGTTTTGGCGTTCAGAATCGTACTTAGGTAAGGTGTTGAGTCCTGCGTATAATTTCGTTGATTGTATAATTTCGTGGAGCCTATAATTTCGTTGATTTTCTTTGAGTTAAAGGTACTGTTATTATTTTGGTGACTCTTTAGCTGTGAGTAGAATGAGTGAAAAAAAAGACATCATTCTGTTTGTGCAGTCAAAAGCTGTTTTAATAGGGTTATACCTGCAAGAAAACATTCTTTAGTTTTCCCAAGGACCCAAACCGATAAGTATCACATTATAAGAAATTTTCATTGTTAAAAATATAATTTATACAGGGTGTTCCATTAGTGCGTTATTTTTTTTTTTTCGGCATCGACATCTGGGTCATTAGCCGATTACAGGTAATGTATAAAGTTCGGTATTGTTTATATTATTCGTTAGATTTCTTGAAAAAGGTTAATTTCCTTTAAAAAATTTATGCATTTTTTTATATAGAAGTTATTTGTTAAACATAGCTCTATATTTTGAGGGAGTGCCAACTCGCGTCTCTTATTTTCATATTTTGGACATTCTATTAATATATGGTCTACTGTAATTGTTGTTCTGCACATGTCGCAGTTTGGTTGGTTTTCGCCACAAAGCATATAAGAGGATGTGTATCTAGTATGGCCTATTCTTAGTCTTGAAAGTATTGCTTGTTCTCTTCGTTGTAAGTATTCTGGTGGAGTCCATGGTTTGGTTGTGTTCTTTACTCGGTTGAGTTTGGATTGATTTTGGCTCCAGTATTCTTGCCATTGTGTAAGTATTTTTTGTTTAAGGTAAGTTTTGAGATCATCTGCTCTAATTGGTATATTTTCAGGTAAATGGTTTAATGCTTCTTTAGCTGCTTTGTCTGCAGACTCATTGCCTGTTATTCCAATGTGGCTTGGAACCCATATAAAAGAAATACTTTTACCTGTCGATTCTAGGTAATGCAATGTTGCATTTATTTGCTTTATCATTGGATCTTGATTGAATTTATTTTGTAGGGCTTGAAGTGAACTAAGGGAGTCAGAGCATATAATATTTACTGTATTATTTCCCAGGTCTATATATTTCAAAGCTTGCCATATGGCATACAATTCCGCTGTATATACTGATGCGACAGATGTTAGGGTCCAAGAATATGATAAGCTTTCAACATATATAGCGCTGCTAGTTCTATCTGTAGTTTTGGAGCCATCAGTGTAGATAATTTGTTTATTTTGATATTTATTTATTATGTTTAAAAATTCTTGTTTAATCATATCTTGAGGTGTTTCTTCTTTTTTATATTTCAAACATTCGTTGTGTAGTTTTGTGTTGTTTAATATCCACGGAGCTATTTCGTATTCTTGATTGCTAAGGATATGCGGGGGTGTCTCGTTAAGGTTTTCCAATAGTTCTCTATATCTTATTCTTGCTGGTCTTGTTATGGTGGATCGTCTGTTGTATATTTCGTCTTCTGATGTATTACTAAATATTTTATGCACAGGGTGATTAGTGCGTTATTGTTCATTATTTTGTTGTAGACACGCAAAAAAGTTTTAAATAAAAGTTATATGGATTTAAAAAATACCTACATATTTTAAAAATATCTTTGGATATACAGGGTGTCACGTTTTTGCCTGGCAAATTAAAATGTATGTTTTTTAAATGGAACACCTTATATTTTATTTTATGATGAAATTATTAACACCCTAAATTATTGTAAAGACGAGTTGCTACAAAAATTTTTTATCAGGTATGTGTGTGGTTACCTTTTAATTAAAGCCTTGCAGATATACTCCTGTGATACCTGTCTTAAATATAATAAAGATCACGTTGAATTATATGATTTTTCTTTTTATTGCTTTTTAAAGGCATATGATAACGCCAGTTCAGATACATTTGGAAATCTGCAACTGTCAAATGATGAATTTGTAGAACTTATATTCAATATTGAAAAGATATTTCAAAATAATTTTGAAGAATTGGCTACAAAAAATGACATTTGTACCACACTTTTAGAATTAATTAACCCAATACCCTTTAGTCATCCATGTTAACGTTTTACAAAAGAATAACCTATTTTAATGTATGTTTAATCTCAATAACTAAAAAATATACTGACAATTAGTTTGACAGAATTGTCATTTATTTAAAATTTTAAAAATAATAGCAGTCGGTTGATCAAAATATGAACGGTGATTGGCGAATTTATTTTTTTTGCAGTGTTCTCACTACCTAGAATGGATATGAAATATATTCGTTCAATTGAAGGCAATAGCATACTTTTTCGTTTTGTAATCTGTGCATGGATATTAGCCAATCTACGAACATACTACAAAACGAAAAAGTAAGCTATTGCGTTCAACTACGAATATATTTCATATCCATTGAGACTGAGAACACTTTAACAAAATTAAATCTACAAATCACAGTTCATATTTTGGTCACCCAACTCCTATTATTTAAAATTTTTTATTTAAGTGACAATTCTGTTAAACTAATTGTCAGTATATATTTTAGTTATTGATATTAAATATACATTAAAATTTTTGTGTAGACTCGATAAATAATAGCATTTTTATTTTTATTGTGTCCACATTTAAAAAAAAAGAAATTTTAATCAAACTACATGATACTAATTTAATTACGAGTATTAAAACTAAAGTCCTGAAAGTTTCGGTGAAGATGAGGATAGAACATCTGCCTTCCACGCGAAAAGCCCGGGATCGAATCTAGGCCAAGGACTAATTAATTTTCATGTTTATTTTATTTTATAAATTAGTCAACTTTATAAATTATTTTAAAATTAGTTATTTTGTCTAAATAACCTAAAATAATTTTTTAAATTTGTAGATTTTCGTTAGTGGGTCGTAGAAAAAATATACTGACCACATCGAGTGGATTGTTCATATCACAATCAGACGATTGAGTACTCCGCCTACGACGTCGTGCTCAAACTTCGTCTTTGTGTGATATGGCTATCATGTCCACCCTTGTTGAACAAACTACTATTTATTTGTTTTCTTGGTTTAAGTTTTACATCAAAAATAGGAACTAAATTAATTTACTTTTCAAGTTTTCTTGTAAAAATCGATATTACTTTCTCCAAGTACAAATTTAGTACCTACCTAAAATAAGTATTAATTATGTAATTTCGTGTAATATTGTAATTCAAATTTCACATTACTATAAAGTTTCAAAATTCCCTACTTCGGTATGGTCAGATAAAAATTGAATATATTATATTAATAAAAACTGTCAAAGTATTACTTCTACAAATCTGTATTTCAATTAATAAGAATACATCTAAATATAACCAATATTGTTAAAATAAAAGCACAAATTCTTTATAATTCCAAAATACCATAGAGTTCCCAGACCTCAGTCGAAGCATTCGTTTATCTAGGTATTAACCCTTTGCACGAAGAGTAACACTTGCCAGACACACGGGGTACCACTTGATTTGCATCCACGAGCGTGATAAAATTCTTTAACAATTGAAGCCCTTGGTGTAAGAAGGATCCAAGCCACAATTTGTCGTGAAGTGACTGTCTTAGCTCAAAACATTTGTTAACGAGGATTTTACTAGCGACATACAAATTATTTTACCTCTAATCCGAAAGATGTGCTATTTTTCGTAATATTTATATTTTAATAATTTTTTTAATTATATTTGACAGATTTAAAACAAATTAAAAATTTAATTTCCCAAAACTTACTTAATATGGCATGTAACCAACCTTATTACGTGCCAAGGTTTTCAATTTTTTCAATAATAAAAAAATTGTTTAATCCGGGCCCGACTTTTCCCTCGAATCTAACAGAGATAGCACCATTCCGTCTTGCTTGGTTGGTTCTCGACCGCCAGATCAAAGACGCCGACACGGAGTTGTGGAGCTGTATTGTATAAGCTGTGCTAATACGTTGGCGATTTATGAAACAAGAAATGTTTGTTTAATGGACATTAATCATCACTCATCAGAGACAATTATTTTAGTTTCGTTTCCTTTTTTTATTGCCCATAGTCTGAATAAAAGAGGAATCAAGTAAAAGTGGGG